AAAAAAAAAAAAAAAAAAAAAAAATAGTTGACTCAGCGCAGGCAGCTCGTGACCCACTGGAAACCTTCTCGCGACCCCACTGTTTGAGAAACACTGTACTAGTAACAGGAGCAGCTCCTCTTTTATATAAGGCTTATTTGATTTTGGCAGCCATATTTATAGCTTACTTAGAAAGCCAAATAAATTGGTGTACTTTGGAACATTCTATTCTAGTGATTTATATATTTTTTGTGTTGTAAAATTCATGTTTGAAAGCAAAATGAATTTATTTTTGGAGACCCAGATTTACGAGAAAAATAAGGCTCATGCTTATGTAAAGGTTAAGTGCCGTTTTCGTGAAACAATTAATGGGCTTATTACTTATGACAGAAGACAAACTGCCTCTGTCATCAAAAGTACAGGCGATAAAACTATAAAATTAAAAGAAACAAGATGAAAAAGGTTAATAATTGAAAACTACGAAGATAAGTAATTTGAAAATGGAAATAAGATACGCATTCACAGAAGGCAAAACAAAGAAGGCAAAATTTCGTATTTTTATCTTTTCATCTCACTTTATAAAGCTACATGAGGGCTATCTGCGCTAGCCGTCCCTAATTTAGCAGTGTAAGACTAGAGGGAAGGCAGCTAGTCATCAGCACCCACCGCCAACTCTTGGGATTGATCGTCACATTATAACGCCTCCACGGCTGAAAGGGCGAGCATGTTTGGTGGGACATGGATTCGAACCTGCGACCCATAGATTGCGAGTCGAGCGCCCTAACCACCTGGCCTCTACAGCTAACATTCGGGTAAAAAAATGAAAGATAAGATATAACATTTTTACTACAGAAGCATGTGATATTCATTTAGGGATATCTAGAGATTAAAAGCAGTATTATTATTTTAGAATGAAAATCACCTTTCACTCTGATTAACTCAGTGAAGGCTTTGGAAATTCATAGAAAAATCTATAGGAAAAATACTTTTTAAAAAATTTGGTTTTTATTTTGGTGTACAACAAGCTTGCAATTTGTACACAAAGCATGTCAAATTTTGTGGAGCTACACATGGTAAATTCAGAACTATAATAAACATTATTATGTATAACTTCACAGATACGGTGTCTATTTAATGGTTTCATTGTTTTATCTCACAACTGTGACGTCACACGGTCATTCGGGCATTGCCTCATTAAACTTTGGCAATTTCCGCAGAGTTTCTTTAACAGGAAGTAAAAGTTCATAGTACAGGCCTATACTAACAGCATTGTAATAACAATGAGCTAACAATGAATATTAACAGAAAAACAAAAACATTCTTGTGACCGGTGTCCTTTAAATATTTACCATACGATCGCTTAACCAACTAGCGATAAGTAATCTTATAGGTGAAACAACCCTAATGATCAAAGCAGGACAGATATCGAAATCAAAAGACGCTTCTATAACAACTTATTTTCAAACGAAAAAAATAATTTTAAACGAAAAGTTATGAGAGAAATTTCTATTATTTTATTATATAATTCACGTTATTCATTATAATTGTACGAACAGAATAACAATGATCACAAATACACAGCTATCTCAGAACTAATATAATTACAACGCCAGTGTTTGACTGTACAGAAACAAATTTGTAAATCAGCATCAGACGAGTCAATATGACTGTGTCGTTTTACCCCAAGATTACAAAGGTCCAAGAGCGTCTTTTCATGATCTTAAACAACACTATTAACATAAGAATATGAAATCAAAATAATAATATATCATGTACTTGAAAAATAAAACTGAGTTACGAAAACCCTAACAACATATATATATGATTTTGACGGTTTGAATAAAGTTTTGAGTAAAAGAACGTGTTACGCAGCTTAATTACAGAGAAACAAATAACTATAATTTTAGTTAAGTGTTTCGAGTCACTCTCAATACGCCTAAAGTGTTAGCATACAGTATTTAACTCAGATAATTAAAACGAGGTGTGTAAAGCAGACGAAGAATAAACATTGATAAGATGAAAGATGTGAGATTTTTGCAAAAAAGAAAAACAAATGAAGAACAACAACAAAAGAAACCTGACTGTAATTAATCTTTGACAGATATAAAAGCAAAACGTCATTATTAATGACATATTAACAAGTAGGGGCGTCATGGCTATTATTTTCAGTGCCTAATCTTCTAATACAAGTACATAAAAAACAAATAGAATGTACTATATTAAAACTATTAGAAAAGGCATATTTAGAACATTTCCACGTATATCATATAATTTTTGTATAACAAATATATGTTTTATAAGTTTGTTTTTTATAACAAAATTGATCAGAAAATTTAAACAACATACGGAAAAACAATTCCATTTTTCACGAAAATAGTTGCCAACGGAATGAAAACATCGAGGCCTAAATACTTATCAAGAAGATTCGTGAATTTCTTACAATTGTTCTGACGTTTTAAAGAGTAATTAGATGCAGAAATAAATGATTAAGATTTTCTTCCACCATAGCTTTACTAGCAACAAAACATAATGATACAAATATACTTTGATAGCTGTTAGCAATAACAACAGTTGCTCCCGCTCTAATGATGTTAACCCTAGAGTAAAACTCTCACATGAAGCAATAAGAGGAGGCTACTTACGACTAGCATCAGCAAATCAATGGATTGTCCAGACAACAACTGGGGTGGTAAGATGACCGACCCCCTATCGGTACACATACACGAACTGGACAATCATAATCCAGGCAACAACAACAAGAGAAAGCTACATTTTCTACCTAGAAAATATATATGTATATATATTTATAAGTTAAGTTTTCCATTTCCGACATCGATAATTTGTGAGCGCCACCTATTGAAACATCACGTACTTCCAATTTATTGGATAGGTGAGATCAATATGGATAATAGTAGAACAAAAAAGAATATTCTGAAATAATAATGTTATTGTATCAAGTACCTCAGTTTTTATTAAACAAGAAGGGAGCAAACAACACAAACAGTAAATTGAAATTCGGTGACGAGGAACCCACTTTGAGACTAAATTGTTTCGAAGACAAAGGTATTTGTTACTGAAGGTAATCAATAATAATAAAAAAGTATGGTTAAAATAAACACGTTCTGACATGCAAAATAAGAAGTCTCGTGACTCAAACGTAGATACAAAACATTACTTAATTTGTGGTGGCTCAAAACATTTTCAGATCAAGACAGGAAGCAAACTCCGATATTTCAAATACCCAACGCAATGTCATAATAAACTCGTGATAAGCCCGATGTCTAAATTTTATAAAGTCGTTACTGAACCCATTACATAATAGACTCAAGCAAACCCATTCAAATATTCAAAACATATAAATCTCTATAATAGAAAAAGGGATTTTAAAAGAGAATGTCAGTAATAATACAACATTTAATTCAATTAAGGTCAGAGTAAGTTTTCGGAAATTAAAATTATGTTTGAATTTAAGAAAACGTATTTCACATATCTATATTATGTGAAAAGACGGTCGTTTATAAATTAAAAGACATTAACGTTAACCAGTTATACGAAATTTGTTTTTAAACTTTAAGAGTATTTAATAATCTTAAAGTTTAATAAGATATATATATATCAAACAATGCTTCTCTTAAGTTTATAGAACAAATTTACAAATTATGGAAAATGAAAACTTTGAATAACAGACTGAGTTAGAAACTAAGTTCTGTACACCAAAAAAAATAAATAAAAAAAATGTAACTTGATGCTGTCATCTGGACAACACTTAGATAAGTTCCAATTTGACTCACTACTGAGCAAAAATCTGTGTAACGACAACAAAGTGCCCAGAGAAACATCCGTTCGTTACCACTTTAGCGTTGGCACCACTTACGCAAGTACACACACTCAAAACACTTGAAATAGGGTAAGATTTCCCTTGTGTGTTTTCATGTAAAGCGTTGAAACATTATATGACTTGTAAAATCTGATATCTGGGAAGAATTCATTATATTTATAACATTACGTCGAATACATTCGCATGGAATTTGGAATTTCCAACAAATTTGGAATGTAGAAGCACAAACACCAAGAACAGGTGCATTTATATATGGTAAAAACACAGTTATACCTCCAATAAAGTATTTGGAAGTCCCTAAACTCAAACCAAAATAGAATGTCACTTCAGCATCTTTTCGACGGCTGTATTGGTGTCTTTTTTTAAACTTAAAACCAGCGCCTAAAAAGATTCATTGGTGTTCTCAGAAGTTTACATTTCTTCATGCCGAAGGAGGTAGGTTGTCCAGTACACCAGGTTGAAGAGCGCAAACATAAGTGGAAACAAGATTCGGGACATGACGTCAATTCTCTTAGATCGAGTCGGGAACTTATTAAGCCAGGCTTTGAAAGGGTTGATACTTTTAGGTGGCTGCATATGAACTTCGCACTGTCGAAATTTGTCATTGTGAATGTTATCGTGATGATGTACCAACGGCTTCTGTAACAAAAATAAAACGAGATGAAGAAGAACTTGACACAAATTTGTGTGCTATGCTTGAAGAGAACAAAGACTATATCGAAAATTACAATAACTTTTCCTAATGCTAACTGGAGGAATTGTTTGTACACTTTGGTCTAAGTAAACACAACAAAACATTATGCCAAACACACATTATAAAAATCGTAGTAAAATAATGGGCAACCTTTTGGAAAGTTTCTTCGTTGGAGATGAAGTTTCGATTCACAATAGATACATGACTTTTAGGATGTATGAGCAAGATTATTTCTTGTTCTTATAAGGACACTTAGTATATCCCAGAGTGTTATCGAGGACGAATTTTATTGAATAGACAAGCGCTAGTACTAGCACCAAAGTGTTTAATGAGTCTTAGATAAATGATTATTCACTAAAACTCTTTCAGCTGCATTTTTCGCAAATAAAATTAATTTTGATTGTGTAACGTTTCGTTTCTAAACCTACATCAGAACTAACAACAGCTAAGTTTTCGCATGATGTGGGGTCATAGCTAAAATGTTATATTATTAATATTGCTATAAGAATGGAGCAAGATTATGGACCATGAATTAGTATCTTTATTCAAAATAGCAGATTTTCTATTAATCACTTTGTTCAACTAAAATATTTATTCTGCAGGGTCGATTGATTATTTATATTAGTATGGTTAAACTTGCGATAATAAGTTTTTACTGGGTTATTATAATTATTATGGGCAGGATAGTATAAGCTTTAAGTGATGATGCCATTTGTTGTAAATATTACCCACACATACATACCATGGCAAAAGTTGTAGCGCCATCTTCCAAATGGTCGGGATCGAGTCCAGAATGCTCGATGTCCCACTTTCGCTGCTTTTTGGGGGCTTGTCGAAGTTGGCTTCTGGAAGCATAGTTTACCAGGGCAAACTCCAGCAAGGCCCCGAATACAAAGGTGAGACACACTCCGGTCCAAACATCGATGGCCTTAGTATAGGAGACAGGGGGGAGTGACGCATTGATGCCGGAAGTCTGTGTCGCCATCGTTAGCAGAGTGGTGACTCCAAGAGACACACGGGCTGGAATTGCGTTTTGATCCAACCAGAAAGAAACCCAAGACACAATGACCAGCATACAACAAGGTATGTAGATTTGGATTAGGTAGTAGCTAAATTCACGTTTGAAAACCAAGTCCACCTTTAAACAACTGTATTCACCTGGAAACAGAAGGTTTCATTTCGTATTACATAAGTAAAAAATTAAAATAAAATGTTGTTAAAACCCAAATGATTTTCATGAAGAACTAAAAAAATGTGTATTAAATGCCTAGGACAACGAGGCTGATATTTTTTTTTTATATTTTAAATTTGACAATATATAGAATTGAGGCTTCCGTGAGGAGTTATAGAAAGTTTTGTTTACTTTTAAGCAGAGATTAAACTCCGAAGTGAGCCACGTAGAGAGGATTATTTAATGTTGTTTGCATTGACAGATTATGAAGGATAAATGTCTCGCAGTCTGCGGGTCGCGGGTTCGAATTCCCGTGACACCAAGCATGCTCGCCCTTTCAGCCGTGGGGGCGTTATAAGGTGACGGTCATTCAAAGAGTAGCCTAAAAGTTGGCGGTGGGTGGTGATGATTAGTTGCCTTTCTTCTAGTCTTACACTGCTAAATTAGGGACGGCTAGCGCAGATATAGCTTTGCGTGAACTTCAAACCAAACCAAAACCGTCACACTATAATGCTCCCACGACTGAAAGGGCGAGCATGTTTGGTGTAACAAGGGTTCGAACCCACGACCTTAAGATTGCGAGTCAAGCGCCATAACCACCTAGGGCCTAATGTTTTTAACCACAAATTTTGTTACAAACTTCAGTCGTAAAGCGGATTCATAAATTTTAAAACATAGAACTTTATATGTATTTTACGCAGTAGTTGACAGTAACAATTTATTCTCAGAATTATTTCATGTAAAAAAAGACAAAATAATCATGACAAACATAATGAAAAGTAAGTTAACTATAAAGACCATAACTAGAAATAAATTAAACCTTGAATCCAGTTTTCTATAATAAACTACGAAGAAATACTTAATTCTAGAATTATCGATGGGTAATTTTACCCTAGGCCGTTGACGTTTTAAATAATATTTTTTAAACTATTTATACACTAAATTTCTTTATTGGTCGTAAGGTCTTAAATAAGATATGAGTAATAACAAATTAAACATCAAAACCACCACTACTGCAAATAATCCCATTAATTACTGTTGAAGTCTCTATGCATTTTACATAAAAATGACTGATTTTACCCATTCTTTTCTTTTTGGGTTCATTGTTTCTCTACGCATTTTATTCATAAATTACTTATTTTACCCATCTTTTTTGGGTTATTTCTTGTATTGTAACAAAATTTCTCCAGATGTGGACACAACCGATAGTGACGGTTCGGTACCTTATGTTATGTACTTTATCATCGTTGTTAGTTTGGCCAACTTAAGAAATTTAGACTAGTCCAAAATCCATAGACTAAACTAACAGCGCAAAACAATTTTCATAAGTTGTAAAAGCTAAATAAAAATATGAAAATTAGTTTTAGATATTAAAATCAATAAGATTTAATGAAAGTAAGTTTAACAAGAAATGGCGTAAGTCATTATTAAAAAAAAACAACGACATAGCAATCCAATCGTTTGCTTCTGAAATCCACAAAGCTTACCAATAGACGACACGTGGATATACTTGTAAGAATTCACATACTTTCAGTGGTCCACATCCATCAACAAGAACGAATGAAAGTTTGAAAAAAAACCTGTATGGAATTACTCAAGTGATAATTCTTGTTTGTTTATTTTGTTTTGATACTTTTATGGCTGAAAAGAGAAACACACCTGTATTTGTTTTGCTGGTACAATAGTCGGTTAGGTACTTTTCTAGAGTGAATCGAGGAAGATGTAAGTTTTTGGTAATTTGGACTGGATCTCCTTCTTTCCACTCAAACATCAAATCCTCTGTGGTGTAGCCATCTATAAAGAATACACATAAATGAAATTGTACTTTTAGAGTAACATTTAATTCCTGCTTAGTTGTTTTTGTTAGATTTTCAACTCCAGTTAGTGCATTGCTTTCATTATTAATTGATTCTTAATGTAGAAGCTAAACTAATTAGTTGGAAATACTATGAATAAAGTGAATGTTTCAGAGACATTTTGTCAGAAAATATAGATGTAACATTTTGAAATTTGTTAATTTCGTATTTACACAATAGACGTCTGTTGCAGAAAGTATTGAATTGGAAATTTGTCAATTTCGTATTTGCACAATAGACGTCTGTTGCAGAAAGTATTGAACTGGAAATTTGTCAATTTCGTATTTACACAATAGACGTCTGTTGCAGAAAATACTGAATTGGAAATTTGTTAATTGAGGGAATTTTCTCTGAACTATTACTATGAAATATTAGAAATTCGTAATATTGCTACAAATCATGCATTTTGAAGTTCACCAAGTGATTTTATAAACATCAAGAGTCTTTTGTGACATTGTTGCTTTGGTTACTCTCTAAATATCTTAGTTCGTGATGATTTTGAGTCGCACAAAATGATTAGTTGTAATAACATGAGCGAATGTTTCACCTTTAATGGGTAATCATTATACATCTTATACACGGAACTCTTTCCAACAGACATATAAACTGGCATATTTTTTTTTCTTCAGGTGCAATTCTATCGATGTAATATTATTAAACTACTAAAACATTTTCCAGTACAAATAATTGGAACAATTTATTCGGGCTGTGGAATTATTTAAGGGCATAGTTCATCTGCTTTATATGAGAAATGACAGATGAGAAAAAACTAATTTCCTTTAGGAAAGCTGGGTAGAGGAAACTTCTCCCCTCTTGAAGATTTATTATTTCCTCTTGGTAAAAAATAGTTTTAACTCGTAGAGGATGTCGGTAATAACCATACATTAGTTATTGGAACCAAAATGATGCATTGCTATAATTTAACATTGATTTAAAGTGACCAAACTCACTATCCCGTCATGTAATTATGAAGAAGTTAGTTATCGATTCTAAACGATTATGGAGATTTGATTAACAGCTGCATCCGCATGTGTTGCAGAAATCTTTATGTCAAATACAGGAGTGGACATATATTGATTAGGCCTAGAAAAACGATACAAGTTTGATACAAATGTTTATCTAATTTCCGTACTTTACATTCCAAAATAACTTGTTTCTGTGTTGAAATTCGAATATATCTGTTCTTTCATTTTCGTACAATTAGAATATCTATGGATTTCAATGTTGTTTTATTTTTCAAAAAAACCAACAACAAAGAAAAAAAAACGAGCTTCTAGAGTGAATTATATCATACAAAACTACATAATAACAAAATTGTTGGGAAAATGAGGATAGTTAGCTGTGAATTCTTAAGAAATTGTAATAGAAAATCATCATTAATCGTGATATTTACTGGCCAGGATGCACGTTTATGTTTTCGAATTTATGTAAGAAGGCACATCAAATTATTAACCCTACTTAAACAAAGTGAAATATTTTTTAAATTGTTTGTTTTTTACAGCAAAGCGACACTGCCATCTGCTGTATCCACCGCGAGGAATCGAACCCCTGATTTTAGTGTTGAAAGTTCGTAAATATCCCACCGTCCCACAGGGTGGACATGTTTTAAAAAAACAATTCAAGTTCAAAGATAATTTAGTGATTTTCCCCCGTAAATAAAGTAAGATAATATCTAAGTATATTGTTGTTCCCATTTAGTCTTAGTTTCGACACCTTTATGGGGTATTGCATTTAATCTGTGAATATTTTTTTTTTGGGGGGGGAGGATCTAATACAATTAAAAGCAAGTGAATATTGTACTATTTATTTAATATAAAAGACATTAAGAATAGATATTCAGATAATTTAGTGAATTAACAGCGGAACGGTTTATTTCTTCTGTGAAGAAACATCCATACACGAAATTTCATAAAATCATAGTTTAGACAGAGAGCGAAATAACGATAAAGATGTTTAGAAGGGGCCCTCCATCAAGTTCTAACTTGGTCTTAGGAATACAACCACATCTAATTATTGAGCTACTATTTTAAGTGTGATCACGAATGGTGGTGTGAAGAAAACAATAAGTTTGAGGGGTACAATAAAATCTTTCCAGCAGCGCTAGTGAGATCTAAATTTTTACAAGTACTGATATTTTACAGGATTTTGTTACTCTTCCCCATGTGATTGAGCTTCCCCGGGGAAGTCTCTCGTTAGAGCTCAAGCAAAAAAAAAAAAAAAGACTAAACGGACTAGTAGTGTAAACATTATACTTAAAAGGAGACTAGAACAGTGATAAATACAAAATTAATAATTACTGTATTAAAAATAGTAGACATTTCTGGACTTTTTGGGAAAAGAAACCATGAATATTAATTACTCACAACTCGCCATGATGATAGAACAGGTCTGCTTGTCTAGTGGGTAGTACTTGAGATTCATTGGACAGGACAAAACAAGAGATATTCTGTTAATGAAAATTAGTAGTATGATAAATACTTTCTAAGTACGAGTTTCATCTATAATAATTATTTTCGCCTTACTCTAGTATTATCAAAGTTTGGCCTTACTCTCGATTTTGTATTGTTATAATATGGCGGTAATGGTTTAGGTAATAAAGAAGTATTTTACGTGATGCAACAATGTGGTAATGAATATTCTTCATAATCATTCTTCCAACTTACATTGTAACAGCTTGTTTTTCGTGCATTGTTTGGTGTAACATATTCCTATTAAGAAAACGTTTGTTGTCTTATGAGTTTTCACCTTTTCAAAAACGATGACAAGTAAGAGTAATAATAAAATTCTATTATTAATTAATTATATTATATTAATTCTATTATATAATAATTGCCTATTATTAATTTATTATGATAATAATTGTCTATTATTAATTTATTATGATAATAATTTGTCTATTATTAATTTATTATGATAACAATTTGTCTACTATTAAGTTATTATGATAATAATTTGTCTACTATTAATTTATTATGATAATAATTTGTCTACTATTAATTCATTATGATAATAATTTGTCTACTATTAATTTATTATGATAATAATTTGTCTATTATTAATTTATTATGCGATATGTTAAAACAAATTTAACAAAAATGACAAATAAAGATTGAATCTAAATTACAAATATTTTCAACGGAATTATAAATTAATTAATTCATAGTAATTAAAAATTATACAAATGTAAAAATAAATTATACAGTAGCTCTAAAACACATTCAAGGTAGTTAAAGTTTTATAAAAAATGTTTCGTCCTCAGGCCTACATCTTACGCTGTACATAATATATTAACAAAAGCATAAGGAAGAGTGCTTAAGTGCAATATATTAATTTTCAAGTCAATAAGCATGGTTAAAAAAACTATATAATTTTTGACAAACTTAATCTATGAGTCTTATTAATCTTGTTGAATCACACACAAAAACACACACACACAAACGATGCTTAGTCCTAAGTACACCTAGTTCAATTAAACTTGGTATTCATATTTGGGAATTATTGATTTAACAGATACTCAGATTTGAGGTTTATTGATTTAACAGGTATTCAGACTTGGGGTTTATTGATGTAACAGATATTCAGATTTTGGGTTTATTGATTTACCAGTTATTCAGATTTGAGGTTTATTGATTTATCAGATATTCAGATTTGGGTTTTTTGATTTATGAGATATTCAGATTGGGGGTTGATTTAGTTATTTATCTATCAGGTATTCAGGTTTATGATGTATTGATTTTCATGTATTCAGATTTATGATGTATTGATTTTCATGTATTCAGAATTGAGGCTTATTGATTTATCAGATATTCAGATTTGGGGTTTTTGATTTATGAGATATTCAGATTTGGGGTTTATTTAGTTATTTATCTATCAGGTATTTAGATTTATGATGTATTGATTTTCATGTATTCAGATTTGAGGTTTATTGATTTATCAGATATTCAGATTTGGGATTTTTTATTTATGAGATATTCAGATTTGGGGTTTTTGATTTATGAGATATTCAGATTTGGGGTTTATTTAGTTATTTATCTATCAGGTATTAAGATTTATAATGTATTGATTTTCATGTATTCAGATTTTGGGTTTTTTTACTTATCAGGTATTCGGATTTATGGTGTATTGATGTATCAGGTATTCAGAGTTTCAAAGTAATTACAGCAAGTGACTATATACATATTAAAAGTGAATAAGAAATGTGGTGCTAATCCATTGCATCCATCGAATTTTTTTTCACAAATTATCGAACTCATACTTTAGTCTTCCGAGTAATTCACATAACTACATGTTTTAGCGAGTCTTTCAAAAGAAGTTCAGTTCTTCAAAGTGTTTTGGAGATTAAAAGTAATTTAGTGAGTCATCGAACTCGTATTTAAATTCCCCACTGAGTTGCATATAAATAGCTGTTCTTTGTTGTGTACTAAAACTCTACGCTTTATATTTCCAGAAGACGATCTTTAAAACACAGTTTAGTTGGCAACTTTGACAAAATTACAACTATTCCGATAAAAACATTGGGACAGTCATTAAAGAAAATTTTAACAACGCTGCTGTTATTCTTACCTTTTTTCAGTTTATTAAAATCTGTTTTTGCGTCATTAATGTTTCGAATAAACAATATTGTAATATTTAGTACATTAAAGCAATATTATTTAAGAACGAAACTAAAGTATGAACATCTTTGTTTATTTGTTTTGAATTTCGCGCTAGCCGTCCCTAATTTAGCAGTGTAAGACTAGAGGGAAGGCAGCCAGTCATAACCACCCACTGCCAACTCTTGGGTTACTCTTTTACCAACGAATTGTGGGATTGACCGTCACTTTATAACGTCCCCACGGCTGAAAGGGCGAGCATGTTTGGTGTGACGGGGATTCGAACCCGCGACCCTCAAATTGCAAATCGAAGCGCCCTAACCACCTGGCCATGCTGGGCCAGTATGAACATATTCCTGATAATATTCAGCATGTTTTTCAGATAAAAGTATGACATTATTTAGTTACTTTCAAATAGAATATTGTAATTCTTAATAGTTTCTTATATTTGTTTGTTTGTTGGTTTTGAAATTTGCACAAAGCTACTCGAGGGCTATCCGTCCTAGCCGTCCCTAATTTGGAAGTGATAGACTATAGGAAAAGCAGCTAGTCAAGACCACTTACCGCCAACTCTTGGATTATGCTTTACCTAGGAAAAGCGTTTGGTGAAGGGATTCGAACCCACGACTACCAGCCTGCGATTCGAATGCCCTAACCATCAGTCCATGCCAGGCCTTAATTTCATTTACGATGACAATACAATATTTACCACGGCACTTTATGATTAAGGGAGTACAAAATTTAAAATATTTTGAAGGGACAAAACAAAATGTGGATTAAGCGCATACGTGTGTATATATATATATATCAAGATAAGAGAGCGGTTTCTTTCCATGAAACGTTTAAATGAAATAAATAAAAGACAGTGTGGAGAAACTATCTGTTATTTGTTCACGTACACGTATTTATCACTATTGTTACAAGAATATATCGTGCACATTGTTTCAAATCTGATTAAAAGTTAGCATGATTGTTTTCGCGCACACCTTATACTTGAAACTGATTTATCGTTAGTTGTGAATGTATTTTAAGGTTAGTCACGTGTTTGTTTTGCAGCTATCTTTCATAATTTACGTGCTTTCTCTTATTTCGTCAGCTAAATGTTGATCATTTGCTGTTTATATAACGTTGTTATATTAAGAAAGGAGAAGACTCTTTCTGTTTACTGGATGCAATATCATTTTTATCTTTATTGCTGCAAACCAATTTGTCGTATGTTGCCTACCTTTCTGGATCTGTGGTTGGTTTCATATACACTAATACGTTTTATACGATGTTAACCTAACGAAATGAGATTGCATTGGTCCACTGAAAGGGAATTATATCCTTATCTTATGGTCTTATTTTTAAAAATAGAATTTTTAAAGCCATAGTAAATCATGAAAGCTAATATTAATGTCGTGAGTGACGTTAGTAAGTCAACTATTCATAAAGCAATTTCCGAAAGCATTACTGAAATAGGTTCAGCGAAGAAAAGGAAAAGCATGCAGAAACCTTATACCTACAGAAGTACAAATTATTAGAAGTAAAATGACTGAAATTAAAAATCATTTTCGCAGAAATAGTATTACCATCGCTATTACCAGTTCATAAAGTTTACAATGGAAGTCATCCACAACGATATAGCGACAATAGAGAGTTATTACCACCCACCACCGACTCTTGGGCTAATCTTTTACCAACGAGTAGTGGAATTGACCGTCACATTATAACGCCCCTCACAGCTGAAAATGCGAGCATGTTTGGTGGGACGAGAATTCCAACCCGCGACCCTCAGATTGCGAGTGGAGCGCCCTAATCACCTGACCATGTCAGGCCCCTAATCCGTAAGAACGACACGATTAATTTGTTTATGTACTCGTGGATTGTAATATATTTTATCTTATAAAGTAAACACATGACATGACTGGCCGATTGAAATCATTATCACATAAACATATGCAATTATGTTTCGACCCCTCCTTCTTAAAAAGGGATCTACAAATATAATTGAATAGATATTTTTTTTTTCCACTCTGGCGACATTACATCAACTTTAGCGCCACCATTATTGGTTTGATATATTTTGAATTTCCCGCAAAGCTACGCGAGGGCTTTCTTCGCTAGTCGCCCCTAATTTAGCAGTGATAGACTACAGGGAAGACAGTTAGTCAATACCACCTACCGCCAATTCTTGGGCTACTTTTTTACCAACGAATAATGGGATTAACCGTCACATGATAACGTTTTCACGGCTGAAAGGGTGTGTATGTTCGTTCGACCCGCAGATTGGGAGTCGAGCGCCTTAACAACCAGGCTATGCACGTCATCAGTACACACAATTGAAAGTGTAAAAGGTTTACAATGACATACGTGATAAATGATAATCTTATTCGTTATCATAAAAATGCCTTAGTAATACAGATAACAACGCCTTTGTAATACAGAGAAAAATGTCTTAGTAATACAAAGAAAAATGCCTTAGTAATGTAGAGAAAAATGCTTCAGTAATACAGAGAAAAATGTCTTAGTAATACAGAGAAAAACGTATTGTAATACAAAGAAAAACGTCTTTGTAATACAAAGAAAAACGTCTTAATAATACAGAGAAAAATGTCTTGGTAATACAAAGAAAAATGCCTTAGTAATGTAGAGAAAAATGCCTCAGTAATACAGAGAAAAACGCCTTAGTAATATAGATAAAAATGATTTAGTAAAACAGATAAAAATTCCTTAGTGATACAGAGAAAAATGCCTTAGTAATACAGAGAAAAATGCCTTAGTAGTACAGAGATAAATGTCTTAGTATTACAGAGAGAACTGCCTTAGTGATACAAAAAATATGCCCTATCTTAATACTGAAGCTGTACTACTTTACGTGTCCTTTGTACCCAAGACCTAATCAAAACAGCATAAGAATCACCCTCTGTTACGTGTTATTACAACTTTAATTAGGGTTGAAATTATAATGTCAATCAAACGGTAGGATTTTAAATTATTTATTATTTATCACAGCTTCACTGGTAGCTGGATGTCTAAAGTAATTGAAAGGAAACAAAATAATTGAAGAACTTACCTAATGCTGTACAGAACTTTTCCGTTGGGGTAGATACGAAGTAGAACATTCGGCATGATAATCTTATGAAAATGTCCTTCTTTCTCATTGGCAAAGAACAAATCAGGTTTCCAAATTTTATCTGGATCCGTCAAAGTTAGATAGGCCATCTGCCCACCCATGTCATTAAACATAAGCCTTTCGTCCCACCAACTTTCGCGAAAGGTCATTTGGACACTGTATTCCTGCCAAAAGTAGTGTAAACTGATACCTAGTGTGTTAAGTATGCGGAACCTTATGACTGGTCCCATCTACACAACATATTCGTCAGTGCATGCTATCAATAGTTATGATACTTACTATAAAAAGAAACATATTTAACCTTTTAGATTTTTAGTTCGTACAATATAAGCTATCACATACACGGAAAAGCATTTCTTAAGAGAATAGTGTAATGCAGACTATGTCCGCCTAACTTGCATTTATTTAAAGTAAAAATCTGATAATCGCGTTTAAAAGCATAACATTCAAATTTTAAGTAATGAAATAACAATATACATTCTGGGTTTTAAATGCGAGATTCAAAATATTTAACGTTACAAATAGCGTGCAACGTTGAGTAACATTTAAGAAATTGACTCTTCCATTGTCCGGAGTTAACTACCATTTTGCATATTTGTTTAGTTACAAAACTGAATTCTTCTTAATGTTTTTGTATTGAACTTCAAAGACTGAAAACTAAACACCGTAGAGCTGCGGGAAGTTCAAGATATCATCGTTTTAGTTTCACATGGTAATACATCATGAAACGAATATGTTTGAAAGAAGACGTGTTTGTTGGAGTCGAAAACTAAACTGTTATTTTAAAATACATAAAATTATATTCTGAAATAAAAACATTCCTGTCTACTTTTAGACTCCAAGAGCTGCATCACAGAGCGAATTACTTAATCAGAACTGGGATTAGCAGCACTTAATAAATGAGTTGGCTTAGGTTTTGCATGCATACTCGGCCTTACAGCTCCGCAACGCTAACATTGGACCGAACACTACTTAATATTTCGCAAACAATACTAAGTGTGACCTAGTCACTACGTCATATTAATTAATATTGCTTTGACTTTGCAGGAAATGTATTCTACACCACGCACGACCAATCTAAAAAAAGAAAAGAAACGATACAATAGCATTCACAAATTACAAGAAACAGATATTAATCAAGAAACAAAAAGTTACCATGACGACGTCATCAATTTTGCTGATACTTCTGATGTAGATGTTGACCTTCACCTCAGCTGGACCATCTATAAGGAGAAAAAAGTGGAAATAAACAAAACAAAGGAAAAACGTATTAAGATAGAGAAATGTACAAATACGTATAAAAGCTAATACAAACGATATCGTAAAATATTACTTAATAAAAAGAGTTGATCAGGAGAAAACATAAGCGTTTTGATGAATGTTCGGTATTGCTTCACTTAAAACATAAAGTTGGAAGTACAAAAAAAAACTGAATTAAATTAGTTTTAAACTGAACTATTGTAAACGAAATAAATGAGTTGATAACAAATCAATTTGCGATATAAAACTAACAACAACAGGTTTGTAGTTACATCATTTTTTGAACTTTTGAAATGCAAAGTTCTTATGTAGCTGTAAAGACAACATTTATTAAAGAGTAAGATATCAGGTTAATCTTGAAAACACAGTCCTAAAGTATTTGTAAAGATCATATTTACTAGTCATTAATATATCAGGATAATCTTGAATAGCACAGTCCTTAAGTAGTTATGAAGATATTATATACTAGTCAATAAGATAGCAGGTTAATCTTGAAAAGCACAGCCCTTAAATAGTTGTAAATATAACAGTTACTAGAGATAACTTTCACTGTAAATAGATATTTATTCAACTTTCCCTCAGCGTCTACTTATATTAACTCTCAAGTTGTATACACGCACATACAATTACGAACATTATTGTTATACACCGTCACATGTTTAACATAAAAATGTGATGTTTATACCTCAGTTACAAAGACACACATGTAAATACAGGTTTATCATCATAAACATGACAACATGGTGTGGTCCCGGTTCTTATAGGTATTTTTAATTTCTATTCTATTTCGATTGTCAACATAGTTTGAGTGGTACATCAGAGCTTTACAACTGTTCTCTTCTAATAATTTACGATTGACATTTATTCCCATTCTGAGCCACACTTAAGTCTGACAGATAATACATCCCATTCTGAAGTTACATCTGACAACGAAACCCATTTTATAGTTACGACTTTGTTTTGTCTTACATGTGCGACAATCTTTAATTTTAGCCTGGCTGTTTCACTTGAAACGACTCATGTAGTAGTATTATAGTAAATACCTGTGACACATAACGTTTACGTGGATTAAGTTCATTCCTTCAAATATATCTTTGGCCTTATCTCTTTCGTCGTTAGGTCCGGCATGGATTAGGGCGCTCGACTCACAATTTGAGGGTCGCGGGTTCGAATCCCCGTTCCATCAAACATGCTTGCCCTTTCAGCCGTGGGGGCGTTATAATATTACGGTCAATCCCACTATTCGTTGGTAAAAGAGTAGCCCAAGAGTTGGCAGTAGGTAGTGATGCCTAGCTGCATTACCTCTGGTCTTTCACTGCTAAATTAGGGACGGCTAGCGCAGATAGCCCTCGTGCTAGCTGCCCACCATCTAGTCTTAAACTGCTAAATTAGGGACGAGTAGCGCAGATAGTCCTCGTGTAACTTTGCGCGAAATCCAAACTTTCGTAGTTTTCTCCCTAGGGTTACTGCAGAACAGTTAACAAGTGCTATTAACACAAATAGGCCCGGCATGGCCAGGTGGTTAAGGCACTCGACTCGCAATCTGAGGGTCGCGGGTTCGAATCCCTGTTACACCAAACATGCTCGCCCTTTCAGCCGTGGGGGCGTTATAATGTGACGGTCAATCCCACTATTCGTTGGTAAAAGAGTAGCCCAAGAGTTG